TGTGCTGCAGTCTTGAACCTAGAGAGCTGGCTACTTCTGGCAAGACACTGACACATGGCGATAGCTTTAAGGACAAGACTGAAAAAGTAATTTCCGCTCTATAGGTCAAACATCTTTAGGCAAAAGATATCAAGTGCATTCTTATTTATCACTCTACAGATTAACAGTCACAGGTGAAGCTGTCATTGAATGGTGTATACTTGCATATATAAGCAAGCAATTACACTTGGGTAAATGTGTGTTTTTCTACTTATTTATATCCCAAAAAAGACTTTTCTATACTTTTAAGAACTACTACATTTCAAAAAAGAATAGTCTGTTGTAAAGCTTGTGTCTGGTTCAGTAACTAAGTTTCTCTAGTCATAAAATGAGAATGATAGTTTTTAAGTTCCAAATATCTTATTTATGTTCTAAAAATTAGTCAACATACTTGCTCTATTTTTGAACTATAAACTTTATTAGAGAGAGAAAAGTGGGTAGATATATAAGTACAGATGTAGATGCATGTACATAATGGATTAAGTGTTTTTTATTCAGCCTTTCACTAATTAGATTTAAAATAGTAAGAGGAAAAGTAAACACAGCAAAGATTCTAAAGTAACATAAGCTGATGGTCTTCAGACATTGAATAATATGGAATGAAGCCAAATTCACTTTGGTTTGTTATGACAAGTGGTTTTTCAACTAACATTTTTAATACTGCTAAATAACTGAAAGGAATTAGTTCAAAAAAGGAAATTATTTTACCTTCTTTAACAGGAATAGCCTATTAAGTATGCCTCAAAGAAAAGACTTTGTATGGTTCATTGGCAAGACTACCCAACACCAGCATGTACATCTATGTATCTAACATACATGTAACTATATGGTACATTCCTTCTCCGCTAAGCAATTGGTGATTTCCTATTTGTAGATGAATAACTGATGAAACTTAACGAGTCTCATATAGAGAAGCTGAGAAACAAGAAAGCATGTCCCCTTTTAATAATACAAAGTTCTTACTTTGCAATAAGTAGACTATAAAAGAAACAAAGAATTCCTAAATGAATGGGCTTCTTACATAGAATAAAATGCACTTAAGTTTTTATATCCTCTAAACTGCCCTAATGAGATGGGCCCCGAAGAAAGCCATGGAGTTCCTTAACGATGTAAATTGTCTACAAAAAGATCCCCTGTGCACTCTTTGGAATGGCGATCTTTCCAATGACTTCAGGAAAAGAATAAAATTAGCTGGTCAGTGAATTAAGTCCACACGATTAATTTCTTAAGCATGGGGTTTGTATGGAAAACATATACAAGCAGTTGTCTTTGTAACCATTTGATACTACAAACATTTAGCTAAGAAAAAAAAGAATGAGCTGTGATATTTTTTTCTCACATGGAAAAACAACAGATCAATTATTTGTTATTTAAGATATTTATGCTGGGCTGGGTTTTACTATTTGTCCTCTGTGGCATGGCATCAGCGAGCCAATTTCCTCAATATGTCAAGATTCTGTCAGAATAAAGAGCACTTCTGAAAACATGTATTCCTGAGGTATTCCTCTAGGTCACATGAGCACGCTGAGAAGTGATAGTGAGTTTGCCATCTGCCTCTCACGCTCCACTTCCTCCTCCCCACATCTCCCATTCCAAATTATGGGCTGATCATGTTCTGCTATTGTAATGTCTGTAATGGGAAAAGATTTTTATAAAAAGGAGAACATAAGTATTTATGGTGATTCAGATTTCAGAAAGGTGCACAAGAGGAAGCTAATTTTCCTGGGACTAACTGGTCTTTCCAGTTTGAAATGTGATCCCAGCAGCTTTGTGTGTCTCCTTAAAGTGGTAAACAAATAATGGGGCATTCTACAAATCTTTCCCGAACATTGAAGTCACTTCGTCACACACCAATCCAGTAATTACAGTTCTGGATATGTTTTCATCCATAAGTATGTGACTATCATATTATGCTAAATGTAGAAATAAAGTAGATTTAAAAACCAATCACTTTTCTTATACTTTCATAGTTTAAATCCTCCAATTAAACCTAATGATTTTTAGTACTCCTTCAAATGTCTTTTGGGTGATTTGATTATGCTTTTTTGCTGAACCTTGCCCATTACCAGGGAAGAGAATATAGTGGTTAATAATTACTATAACATACATACACTTACATATATGAGGTCTGTCTGGAAAAAGGCCCAACCATGGTTAATATAATGGGAACAGTCTGCGTGGCATCTATGTGACCTGGCAGCCAAGGAGAGTGGATTGGAATGCGTCTATGTGAACAATGACAACTTTGCTGTAGTAGTCAGTGGGGGCAGTAGATGCTGTTGAGTGAGCATGTGTACCGTGTGGCCATCACATTCAAAATGACTGAGTAAGTATAACAATGAATCTGCATCAAATTTTGCGTTAAGCTTGAACATTCCTCCGTGGAAAATATTTCAATGATTTAGAAGGGGCAGCTCTGGGCAGCTGGTGATTGGCAGCTTCATCATGACAATGCGCCTGCTCATGCACCATGTCTCCTGCAAAGTTTTTTGGTGAAACATCAAATCCCCCAGGTGAGTCAGCCTCCCTACAGCCCAGATTTGGTGCCCTGAAACTTCTGGCTTTTCCCAAAAGTAAAATCACCTTTGAAAGGGAAGAGATTTGAGACCGTTGGTGAAATTCAGGAAAATATAATGGGGCAGCTGATAGCGACTGGGAGAACTGTGTGAGGTCCCAAGGTGCCTATTTTGAAGGAGACTGAGGCGTCATTGTTCTATGTACAATGTTTCCCGTATCTTGCATCTTCTTCAATAAATGTCTCTATTTTTCATAGTACATGGCTGGATACCTTCAGGACAGACTATATATATATATATATGTATACACACACACACACATATATATTTAGTTTACAGATATGTAATAAAATTTTTCACTTTGTTGTTTCTAATCTTTATAATCCACACAATAAGCACTTCCTGGGTGTCCACTTCAAGGCCCTACCAAGAGGAACAAGAGTGAAGACCCCAGTTGCTATGAGCTGCTAGAGGAGATAAGACATATCCAGTAATAATTACAACATTAAAAAAAAGTATGAACAAATGCTTTGAGAGGTGTGTGAAGCAACATGAAGCAAGTTAGAAAGAGAATGGAGCTTCTCCCTGAGGTGGTACTGAAGGTCAACTACATAGTTGGTCAAAGACTTGTTTGTTTTGATTCTTGGAAAGCTTAAAACACTGAAGCTTACTAGTAAGACATAAGAGTATCTTCTCTCCCCATTTCTGATTATATAATAGTATTAGCACTTTCTACTTTTTTTTAATGAAAGTCTGCTTAATTGCTCAATGTGCTGCTTATTTTGTTAATAGTATCTTTCTTTAATAAAGGTATAATATCACTCAGCAGAGCAAGGAGACATTACTTAAATTATGGTCATATAATTTCCACAAAAGAAACTCTCCTATGGATAGAGAATCAAACACAGAAAGTTTTTCATGTTACTTTTACAGCTATTTTTATTTAACAATTTTTTTTCTTTTTATGTTTCTTCTTAGTTCTTTTCTTTCTTAAAAGTAGACAAAATGAGAGATTTCAAGTTGCCATGTTGACCATACCAACAATAAAGAACAAAAATCCAAAAAAGAAAACAAAATACTATTTACTTTTAACTTAACACTGTGCATTGAAAATGTTTCTGATTCAAAAACTTATACTCTGCCAAAGATTTCATTCTACTTGTAACTTCTGCTTAACAGATGGGTAGGGGCTGGTTGGGAAAAAGAGTAGCAAAAGTTCAAAAACTCTTAAAATAAATTCCATGTGTAAATGTGTACATGTTTACACATAATACATTGAGGAATGACTATAAAAGGAAACCAGGCTAAGTGTCTTCAATAAATTCAACACCAAACTATGAACACAAAATAGAACTGGTTACAAATGGAGACATTTAACTATCACTTGTGTAAACATTCTACTTTTTTCCTTAAGTTGCTAATTATCAACTTAATCAACTAGGCATGATTCCAACATGTTATATGTGCTACAGTCTACACAGATTCCAAGGAGAGCAAAACACAGTTTGTGCATGAAAAAGAGAAATAGCGGGGGAGGAGGGGTGTGCATGTGTGTTTTGTATTTGAGTAGAAGAGCAAGGGCACTATCGGGGCCACATAAGGGGCATATGTGCCATGGGACTGGTATGTGCTAGGCGCTGATTAAGGTAAGCATACAGGAAGAGCCAATGCTTGCTTTTATGGGAAATTAATCATCAAAAGCCTACACAAAATGATTAGCAACACCTGGCATTTTGCTCTTTAAGAAGCAACAAAAGTCCTCAGTTCAATCAGGGTTTCTTTTGTTTTAAAATCAGAATACATGTTCCAGAGGAGAGAATGGAAAGGATCAGTGGAACCCCACGCCCACCGGTGTGAGTGCCCTCTCAGACTCTGTTATTACAGTGAACTCAGTTAAGGTGGTTTGGGGTCTCCCATAAACCCAATTAACAAGAAAATAGAACAGAAGGAATGACATCTTAAAACTCTGCTTATGAATTGATATTTGCAATTCATAAGCAATTTTTCCACTCTACCGTCCTTAGGAAATGTGACTTCCGAATCGTGGGCTTCAAAAGAGTCTGCCTGCCAATTCAAAAAGCTGACCATTGTTTAAGCTGACCATGTGAGCTGGCCTTAATAAGAAGTCATTCTTTTAATATGTGTGTGTATTAAATGAGTGAATTGGAGTTGGATCTTTTTATTTAATCAAAATTCAGCTAGCAAGACAGGTAAAATAAAGGAAACAATCAATAAGCAACAAGATTGCACTACTAACCAAAAAAAAAAAGCCAGCTCTGGAAAACATCTTAGTAAGTAACCTGAGCCTGAAATGTATCTAGTTCTCACCAAGTTCAGCTTTCAACCACACTCTGCAAAACTACTCTGATCCAGCTACCCAAAGGCCCTTCATGCTTCTATTTTATTTCATAGTTTATTCATAATCAATATAAACACATCACCAACCTTAATTCCAGCCAGCAGTCACAGGATACCTTGGGTCAGATCAATAAAGTCTGAAATATAAACAGAAAAACATCTGTTTCATAAAATAAATCAATTGAATGATTTAGTTTTTTATTTTACTCAGGAGGAAGATAAAGTTACTTGGTTCCCTGTACCATAAAATTTACTGGATGACAACATTCATTTACAACAAGGGGGTGTTATGTAGTTATAAAGCTTTAAACTTAAAATTATTTTCTAGACTGCACTTAAAAACATATACTAGATCACCAAATTAGGCCCTATTTTTGCCTTTCGGCAGCTTTTATTTATTTAAAGTAGAACAATTCTCACGTTTATACTCTAAAATGTCAACCAAACTTTTTTTAAAATAAATTCTGTACTTAATGTACTAACATTTCTCTTGAAAGATGTTTAATTAAAAATAATAAAGCTGATGCATTGGGATCCTTAATCAGAGTTAATATCCACAGACGGTCTGTAAATTTTTAGTCCAAAATCTGTTTAAAGGCAAAAAAAAAGTCACCAAAGACAATTTCAATGGCAACCTATCCAATGTCCCATTGCTGCCTTATACCTAAGCTTTATCACTAAATTATGCTGAGAAGCACGTTGTCAAATGAAAATAATAAAGGTGGTGAACCGAGGACAAAAGCAAACCCAAAACTGCTGGGCCAAAAGTCAGCCTGTCTTTTGGGCAGTTAGTAAAGAAAATAACTTTAATGTGACATGGGGTGAGATTCTTGACTTGTTGCAGGGCGCATCTCTGGGTAAATCTTCAGTTTAAAAAACTTAAGTTAGCTTCCAGAAGTGTGTTTATGAATTAACTAGTTGGAAGTTAGAGGATGTTCCATTTGACATTGTTAGAAATGGTTAATTATTAGACTATTAGTTTAAGTCCAAAAGCTAAATTAACCTACAAAGGTAATCATTTAATGAATAGTTTAAAATAATATTCATATATTCCATTGGATGATAGGTTAGCATGACTGAACTAATCATTTTACTATGTATATGTATATCAAATCATGTTGTACATCTTCAGTATATATAGTTTTCATTAAAATATAAATGGAGTACTGGTAAACAAAAAGTGATTAGAAATGAAATTCTTGATTTTTAATCTCAAGACAGGGGCGTAAGAAAAGTGAATTTACTCATAAAAGAATGAAATGATAGGTCGATAAAATTGTGGAGATTAAAAAATGTATTTGGGGATATTTTGTGTGATTTTTGAGATTAATGGTGTTAATATGCCTACTTCTGCTTCAAGCATCTGACTTTATTTTACTTTGATACAATTTTTTTTTTTTTTGCGATAAAACCAACACTTCCCAAACTGTGTACCACAGGACCCCAGGATGCCACAGTAACTCACAGAATAGTGAAATACTTCCAATATATGAAAAAACAACTCAGCAGGCACCACACAAATTACCAGCTTGAAGCACTTCACAGTTTTAATATTAGACTATGACACATACCTTTCAATGATGCCATAATTTGCAAAAGTGTTTTTTTAGTGGCATTTATGATGTGAAAGCAAACTGTGCATGAAAACCAATATGAAATAAGAAATGAGGATGACAATATCCAATCTGACTCAGGTTTATGGGCCAGGTTGTACCCAACAGGCCACATATCCCATTACTATGGGATTTATGGGATTCTCAGTATAAAATGAAAGGATTTTTCTTTGGATTTGCATGTATTATTTTTTCAGAAGGTTACTTGTAGTTAAGACGTAAATATTTATCATGCTAACTAGATGAAACTGGGAAGTCCTTGTGGCAGAGAGGTGCCATGAAAAAAATTACCAAGTTACTGAGGAGGCCATGCACTGAAAAATTTTAGGACACTCTCTGTTAAGCACAGTTTTGTTTTGTGTTATTTTATTTCATTTTTACTCCACAAATTTAAAGAAAAAGCAGGAAAGATTATATTTTTAAGAACTAGTAAAAGGGAAGGTAAAGGAGTGAGAAAAATATTTTCCTAAAAAAGAGAAAAAATATTAGGAAAGGGGGAAGGACGGGGGCGGGGGTTCATCAGCCCAAGAGACTGCGCATGCGTGCTCGTGTGCGTGCGTGCGTGCGTGCGTCTGTGCGTGTGCGTGCGCGCGCGCGCGAGCGAGAGGTCGGTAAAAGCGTGCACGCAGACTCTAGGGGGCGAAAGACAGGAAACAAGTAGTGGGCACATTTCATATATGTATTGTGGGGTTGAAAAATAAGTTTCCATCCATCCTCCTAAATTCTGGCCGGACTAATAATTAAATTGCCATGAGGCAGATTAACAGGAGAAAATGACCAAATGTATTATGTATGTACATACAGGGGTTCCCTAAGACTAGGGGACTCGAGGACACACTGGGCACTTGAGGCTTATACGCCCTTTTGGACTAAGGAGAGGGAGATAGGAGTATGGGGTTTCAAAGGGAAAGCAGGCAATTCACAGGCAAATGATAAAAGCAAACACCAGAAAAACACATTCTTGCTGGACCACCCAGAACAAGGAGACACAGGAGGAGCCTAACAAACAGACGGCTTGCTTTCTCCCTGTCTGCCTCACTTGGTTTATATTATACTGAGGTCATAGCTTCCTTCCTTCAGGCAGGTAAAAGGGAAGGTGAAAGATTCTTTCTGAGTCTTTTGTTTCTTAAAAATAGCCAACTTAAAATAATCCATGTCCCTTAGAGCATGTTTTGGGGTGGCAAACTCTGCTTCCCCTCAGTACATGTTCTTCTTGTTGATTATCGGTGATCCGTCCCTACGAAAAGATGGTGCCCTAGCTGCCTGGAGCCCTGGAAAGGCCACGCAGAACCGCTTATTTGTGTGCAGGTTTAAACCTCAACTGACCACTTGACTGAGGCCATTTCTTGTTCAGAGTTCTTGGGTGTACTGATGTCTTTAATATCCTTTTAAAGAGATTGGATTTTATCGTTCCTACATGCACTTTCCATATATACTTTCATAGTAAAAACAAAATGATTACTAGTGGAGTTTTTCAAAAGTCAGGCTTTACGCTTCATCACACGATTGGGGAAACATCCCAGCTGGCCCCCCCATTACCCCCCCACCTAGCCCCATCTCTGAGACTTCGAGTTTCTTTCTCAATTCAACATAAGTCAGATACAAACTTTACTTAAAACATTAATGCTATTTTAGATATGCAAACCTTGGGTTTGGACCCATAAGCTTAGCAAGCGAACAGCACCAGAGAGCTCACAGAAGAGCATCGATAAGTACTTGTCAAATAAATGAAGGAGCTTAGTTTTGTACTTTTCTGGTGCTTTGTCAAATTTAAAGAAAGAGTTGAAAATTCCGCTTTGGGCAGAATTAAATTAAAAAACGTCCTATCCTTGCCCCACCTGACTTGTATCCAAAATATTTACTGGAAACAAAGTTCTGAGGGAGAAGAGGTATTTGATTTTGAACCTGGTGGACTCAGATTCTCTTGGGGTTTTTGTTTGTGTGCTTCTCAGATCTTAAGAACACTTCCATTTGCAGCACCAAGAGCAGCTGCTTTGTAAATAACTCTCTGGACTTTCCCCCCCCCCCCCCCACCCAACCCAGTTATTGAACAAATAGGCACAGAATAGTGAAGATTTATGTAGCCCTGAGGCTCCGTCCTCACTGTGAACATCTGCCATTTCAAACACACAGGTCAAGACTCTTTGTGTAATATCTTGCTAAACAATGCCCTAAGCATAACTCAAATGAAATTCTTATCAATAGGATTCAGCATCTGCTCCTGGGCAGCTTAACTTATCAGCACTTTAAAAGCACCACTTTGCCGTCCTCTGTCTCCTTATCCCCCACCCCCCGCGTGCGCGCGCGCACACGCGCACACACACACACACACACACACACGGAAACGTCAGAAAACAATCTTGACAGTTAATTGCTAAAGCTTTCTTCTTTCTCTTTTTCCAATGAGACATGATCTCATACCTAAGTATTATAAATCATATTGTGAAGGTCGGAACAAATTATACAACCTATAACAAGCTTAAGTACGCCTGGTTACACTTCACAAGAAGTAAAACTTGAAAATATCAGACATATTTTAGCTATTAGATTATCGAGGTCAATTGTCAACTGAAAAGCCACCTTTCACACTTGCTGTGCTTTTCCCTTCTTAAAGTGACACCTGAGTCTCCATTTACAGAAACTGTTACCTCAGGAGTAACAGAAAAGTTGTGGCTTCAGTTTCAATTTACAGATACAAATGTAGGGAATACTGCAGTTTCAAAGCAAATTAAAAATCAATTGTATTTTTTAAATAAATTTGTGTTTTGTCTATAATCTTTATATTTTTTAAATGCATAGAAGTTGTCTTTTCAATAGCACTGTTTAACATGTCAGGGATCCAAAGTTCTTTGTTATTAAAGAGATTACTTAGAATCTAGTGCGAGAGAGGTGGTTATGAAGACATGATACAAAGCAGTAAATGTCTGCTGTCAGAAAGAAATGCCAGTAAAAAGCTACCACAGAACAAAGAAGGAAAAAAAAATGAAATCCTGTTATATAGATAAGGATTCACACAAAGTACATTTTAGCTGGACCTTGAAAGAGGCAAAGGATTTTGATCGGTGTGGATGGAATGGGAAGGAGATCAACTCAGACAATGAACTCAGCAGAAACAAAGTAATGAAAGAAACAAAGCCCAAGGGATGTTTGAAAAAACTCCTGCAGCCCTACCTGGCTAGAGAAACAGACAAAGGCAATAATTGGGTGAAAGTCTAGGCCAGGTCTGTACAGCAAGAAACAAACTTGAATGACAAGCCTAGGAAGTTATGTAATTAAATGTGTTCACTTTTGTGTATTAAAGTGAACTACTGAAGGTTTTACATTCAACAACTGCATAATTAGGACATTTAATCAGCAATACTGTGTAGATTGGATCAGATGAGAAGAGATTAAAGGAGAACAGACCTTCTCCTTCAGAAGTCCATGTGAGTGGTAGAGATGGTGTCAATACAGAGAAGGAAGAGCGCTCTGACTACCCCATGGGCCAGTGTCTTAGTCCACCCCGGCTGCCATCACTGAACACC